GAGCTTTAGGGGTGAAGGACATCGGGGCGAGATTTCAGTCCCAACTGCGATTGAGAAGAACCGAGTGACTCCAGTCTCTTCCGGGGGCGGGGCCTCCGGTCTGTGAGAAGCAAAGGACTTTGGAGGAAGGGGACAAGGACAAGGGGTCTGCCCCCGGGGACCGTTTGGTCCCCAGCACCTCCCCTGCCCGCCCCCCCGGCCTCAGGGCTGCTGGCTGGAAGCGGGAGAGATGCGACTCATCGCGGGGGTCGGAGCCCCCACCTTGCTCCCTGCGCCCTGACGGTGCGCAGCCAGGGACCCGTCCGGGGACTGGGCCCCCCGCGGGCCCTCGTGTTTGCAGGGGTTCAGAGGAGCCGGGGGCCGCGAGCACCTGCTGCCCCCGACCGCGTGTCTGGCTGTCCTCTCCCCGCGGGGGAGTCGGCCAGGCCCGGCCAGTGTGGGTCCGCGCACACCTGAGTGTTCGCCCCACGCAGGACCGACTGCGCGCCCCCCGAGCTGCCTCCCGTGAGGGGCACACCTCCTCCTCGCGCAGCCCAGGGCGGCGCGTCCAGACCCCGGTCCCCGTCTGGGCTCCACCCGGCGACTTTGCCTCTGTGTCCTCAGTCTGTGTCCGCGACTTGGGACGGTCCCTCCGCCCTCGGACGGTGCCTTTTGAGCTGTGTGCGCGAGCACCTCGTGGGCGGGGGGGCCGGGTGGGGACACTTTGCTCTGAGCGGGGAACTGCGAGGACCACACCCCGGGGCCGGACTCTGTCCAGGGTTCTGCCCGACGCGGGGCCGGGGTAGGGCGCAGAGCGGCCCTGGGGTGAGGCCTGAGACCTCCGGCCTCCCTCCGGCGCTCCTCCCGGCCCCCCGCGCGTGAGGGTGAGGGTGAGGGCAAGGACAAGGGCGGCGGGGGGGCCCCCCCCGCGGGGAGCCCGGTGCTTTCACAGCAGGCAGACAGCCTGGCGGGAGAGCGGGAGGGGGGTTGTCCGCCGCCCCCTCCCAGACACCCGTCTGCTGTCTGTCCCTGCCGTCTGTCTGCCCCTTAGCCCGCCTGGGCCCCAGCACCGCTGCTCACAGCTGAGGACAGCCCTCTCTGTAGCAGGTCTGGCCTCCCCCCGGCCTGCAGGTGTGACTCCCAGCGGGCAGCCGCCCCAGGACTGGAAGCTTCCAGCCTCCCAGCCCACCCGTCCTCAGCGAAGGGACAGTGCCCTCTAGTGGGCGCTGCCGGGAGCTGCCGCCGCGCTGCTCCCGTCCTGCCGAGGCCCAGCCTGGGCCGCTCCGCCCTGTCCTCCCGCCCCGGCCAGCCCCCCCCCCCGCCCGGGGTCCCAGACGCGCCGCGGCGTCTTTTCTCCTCGGGTGGGGACAATGCAAGCACGGTGGGGACTCGAGCTGGGACAGCCCCCTCATCTGATGTCCCCTCAGACGCTGTGGAGAGGGAGAGCGACCGTTTCTATAGAAACCACTCACCTGCCCCGACACCGGCCGGGACCTGTGCGGGAAGGACACACCCCTTTAGGAATCGGGACCCAAGGGTGCAGCCTGCTGTCGGGGACCCCTCTGCAGACGCATCCAGGGCAGGGCCCCGTTCTCGGCAGCGGGGCCGCGCAGACCGGACTGTCGGAGCCCCTGAGCAGCGGCGCGAGCGGGGGGTTCAGCCTGCATCAGGCCGGGGCACCCGCCCCGCCGCCCGTCAGGGGCCGGGGCCCTGGTCGCTTGTGATGGGCACTGCACCAGCGGCAGCACTGCGGCCGGAATTGGGTCCCAGGGACCGAGCGCTCGTGGCTGTGGGTCCAGGCGAGGGCTCGGCTGAGGCTTGGGGGTGCGTGGGGATAAAAGGACCTTTTAAATAATCACTTTGTCTCCTGCTCGCCGAGCGCCCGCCCTGAGGGGTGTAAACAGGTGGCGTGGACTCCGCTGAGACCCGGCGACCCCCCCCCCGCTCGCCTCTGGGGACGCTGGCGGGGTTCCCGGATCAGAGCCCTGCGCCTGCCTGTCGTGGGCACGGCCGTGCGCACAGCGCGTGGACGGCCCCGCCCCGCGGCCACGGCAGCACGCGGCCAGGCCCGTCCGGAGCGGAGGGCTTCCTCTCGTCGTCGTCCCCGCCCTGAGGCGGTGTTCCCTCAGAGGTTGTCTCTTCGAGCCACCACCGTGGGCGGCGTGGCGCCGCCCATGTCAGCCGGGCCCGTTTCTCGCGGCCCGTGTTCGGAAACCGGTTCTATTTCGGTTCAGCGGACCCTGATTTCTCTTTTCAAAGTGTCTTCACGGGACTCGAGAAATGATAAAATCCAAGGGACATGCTAACCCTTCCGCTGTGTTCCTCTAATTGCCCGGGACTCGCTGGACCCTTCGTCCAAGAGGTGGAGAGTCCGGTGGACCAGGGCTTCGCCCCTGCGGCCCTCCTGAGCCCTCCGCAGTGGGTGGGGCTCCCTGCCCACGCCCCTTTCCTTCCTCCTTCTACTTAAAGCCAGGGTGCTGCCCAGAGCGAGGGAACCGGCGCCCAGGTCGGTGTGCGGAGTCTGTGCGCAGCTGTGCTCCGCGGTCGGTGTTTAAACGAGGGAGTGGGCGGTGGGTGGGGTGCTCAGAGGGCTGGAGGGGGTGGTGGTCTCAGTTCGACTGCAGCCCGTGGGAACAGGGCTGGAGGCGTGTCCTGGTCCCCGCCCTGTCGCCACCAGAACTGGAACCAGCCCTTCAGCCTCCAGATGCTGCTCTTGCCCGCTCCCTACCGCCGTGACTGGATCTGGTAGCCGGAGGAGCCGGTGGGGTGAGCGCGGCAGGTGGGGCGCAGGGGCTGCGGAGGCTCCGGGACCTCCCCTCCGGCAGGCGTGGGCAGGCCGCCCTGGCGAGGTGCGTGCGCCCCATGGAGATGCCTCCATGGTCGGGACCAGAAATGACCGTGAGATGGTGTGTGTTGGGCCCCGTGCAAGAGGGCTGTGGGTAGCCAGGGGGACCCCCCACCAGCCACCAGCAGGAGTCGCTCGTGGCCGCTGGCCTCTCGGGGGTGGCTGGCCGTCAGGGTCGGGAGAGCCGGCTGGAGCGGGGTTTGCCCCAGCCCAGGCTTTTCAACAACCACGCCGACGCCGAAGGAACAGTCCAGAGTGATTCAGAGATGATCCTTCTTTTTAAGGAGCCGTAAATATTTTTGTTGATAAAGCAATTAAAACTCACCGCGTGAAGCCCAGCAGAGAAACAGCCATCACCCCGCACCCTCCTGCCCTGCGCCAGGAGGGTCCACCGCTCGGAGGCCGGGGAGGAGGGCCGGAGTGGGCACCACTCCTGGGCAGACCCTCGACCTTCGACCTTCACGGACGGGCATTCGGGTCGGGAGACGGCACCCTGTGGCGCTCTCATTAACAAAGCCTTGTGGGCGGTCACCTGTGCTTCAGGGGACCTCAGGCTTGTGTGTCGGTGTCCGAAGAGCAGGGTGACGCCGGGGCCCAGTCCTCGCTGGGCAAAGACCAGCCCCGGGCAGGGAGCTCCCCGCACAGCCGCCTCAGCCTCGGGGTGAGGGGGGCCCTCCCTGGGGAGAGGCCGCAGAATACCCCTCGGCGGTCTGCTGCCTGTGCCGCACCCCAGGGCCGGGGTGTCAGCGTGCGGGCCTGTCGGGGAGGGCCTGGGGCGCGGGCGCGGGTTTGCGCACAGGTGCGGACCGCCCCCGAGCGCCCAGCCTTTCTCCCTGCGCCCGGGGCCCGTTCCCACCCTCCCACCCTCTGCTCTGGCGGCTGCCGTGGCCCGCGGAGTGGCTCGACCTTGCTCCCGACCTCCGTGTCTCGTGTGTGTGATGCTGGGGGACTTGGGGTTTCTGCGTGAACCCCTTTCCGGGCTGGTTCTCGTCAGTCTGTTAGTTAGAAGCTGGGGGCGCCGCTGGTGCTGCCCGTGACGGAGCGCCCCACACGTCCGGATGTCCCCGCGCACTGCACTTCCGTCCCTGCCCTGCCCCAGCCCAGCGGGCCCACGAGACGCAGCCCCCCCCGCCCCAGCGGCTCTCGCTCCCGTTGGCCCAGCGTTGCGCCTGCCGGGTCCCAGGGACCCTGCCAGCCCCTCCCCAAAGTGTGGACGAACTCGGGACTCCTGCTCCTCTGTCCCCGTCACTACCTACCCAGAACGTTCTTCGGGGTTCTAAGGGGCAGGCCTCGCCAGGTCCCCTCTCGACAAACACGTGGCGGCTGGCAGCCCGCGTGGATCCGCGACGTGCTTGCGGCAGGACGTGCGACTCGGGGAGGGGCTGCCCGCCTGGCTCCCGCTGGTCCGCCGGATCCCCCGACGCCCCGGCCCGCCCCTGCACCCCGTGGCTGCCCTGCTTTGGGAAACGGCATCCCTCTCCTTCCTGGCCGCCGCCCACCCCCCGAGTCCTGGCCCTCTGAGTCCGGCACCGTGTGTTCAGACACCCGGGCTGGTGGCCGACGGGGCGGAGTCCTGGTCTCCCGGGACACCGCTGTGCCTCCGGGGCTGCCCGCGGCCGCTGCTCCTGGCAGCTGCACCGCCGCTGGCCCGGCGCAGGGGTCGATGGACCGCACTCCGACCCCAGCCCCTGGGCAGGGGGAGTGTAGGCCGGGCCGGTGTGACGGACGGAGTCAGGGCGGAACAGCGCCCGCCGGCTCACAGACGTCTGGAACCAGCCTCAAAGGAGACAACTTTCCTTCCATTAAAATTTGGTGGTTTGGGGATGAAAAGGAAAGTGACGCAGTTGTTCCTAACTTTGTGTCGTCACATTTACTGGGGTGAAATGCACCTTTTTAACTGCTTGTACGGGCGCAGCTCGGTGGCCCTGAGGGCTCCCTGTGGTCACCGCCCGTCACCACCGCCCGTGGGTCTCTTCCCAGTCTCCCCGGAAGGACCTCTTTCCCGCGAGCGGCGACCACCCCCGCCCGGCCCCGTCATGTGACCCTGACGGCTCTGGGCCCACGGGAGGGAGCGCCACCCTGCTGCGAGGCCGCGCTGCGCGGGGTGCAGAGACTCGGCGACCCCGAGGAAACGATGGGAGTTTCAGTGCCCGTGTCCCCCTCTGTCTCCCCACAGTGCTGAGCATCCGGGGCGCCCAGGAAGAGGAGCCCACGGACCCCCAGCTGATGCGACTGGACAACATGCTGCTCGCCGAGGGGGTGGCGGGCCCCGAGAAGGGCGGGGGCTCGGCGGCGGCGGCTGCAGCCGCGGCGGCGTCCGGGGGGGCCGGCTCCGACAACTCGGTGGAGCACTCCGACTACAGAGCCAAGCTGTCGCAGATCAGGCAGATCTACCACACGGAGCTGGAGAAGTACGAGCAGGTAGGCTCCGCGGGGCCCCGGGGCGCGGGGGGCCGGGGGGCGGGGAGAGGTGGGTCCGGGAACGCGACCCGGGGCCCGTCAGACACGCCCTTCTCCGGCACAGCTGCCTGCCTGGGCCCGTCGTCCCGGGGACTCGGGGCGAACGCCAGGGGCACAGAGGGAGGCCAGTGTGGCCCCCCCACCACCACTAACCCGCAGCTGGGGCGGGCGTCAGGCGGGAGGGGGGGCCCAGTGCCCTGGCTCCGCTGCCGGTCACTCCTCTGCCCTCGTCCAAAATGAGGGCAGCCCTGTGGCCACACAATCACATCCATTCCTTGGGGTGACCCTGAGGTCGGGTGCCCGGGACAGGCGGTGTCGTCATCCCCTCGGGCACAGGTGAGGCAGTGAGGTCAGAGGTTAGGTGACGAGTCTGGGGCCCCAGGCCGCGCGCGCACCCAGTGCGGGGCGGGGTCGCCCTGGGATCCGGGGTTCGCCGCCGCCTGGGGCGGTGCCGGCTGCGCTCTGTCCAGGGCTGAGCGCGTCTGCAGGTGCAGGGGGCCGGCTGTCCGGGCGGCCCCGGGGACTGGACGTGCACCGCGTCCAGAGAATGGGGGGTGGGGACAGGGAGCTGCAGGCAGAACTCGGTCCATCTTCGCAGAGCACGCGGCCCGAGCGGTGGGAGCGGCCGGGAGGACCGTGTCGCCCGACCCGCGGGGCACCCTCGGGGTCAGGCCCCGCCCTGCCGAGCCCGAGCGACCTGTCAGCGCCGCCGCTCGCGGCCACTGTGTGCGTGCGGGGCGGGGCGGGGGGGGGCACGCGGTGACGCGCTCTCGGTCGCCCGTGTGTCTCCTCTCGTCTGCGGTGTGCGGGTGGGCACCGGGCGGCCAGTGAGCATCGCGGTGCTGAGCGAGCGCCCCGCACCCCACCCCTCCGAACACGGGAGCCCACCCGGCCCCCCCCCCCCCGCCCACCCTGAGGTGGTAAATACTGCGGCTCCTAGAGCTGCCGTCAGCAGGAACGGAGGAGGTTGGTCGCCACACGTCGTCACACATCGTCACGCGTCATCATGCGTCGTCACGTGGGGCTGGGAGCCCCCTTTCTCAGCACACCCTCCCAGCTGCCAAGGACTGGGGGCGGGCGGGCCTGAGGACCAAACCGCGGAGGCGGAGACCCGCGTGTTACGTTCGTTTCCATCGTTCCCCGAGGGCGTGTTTATTGGTTTTGGAGAGAGGAAGGGGGGGCAGCATCAGCTGCCTCCGGCACGTGCCCCACCAGAGGACCCACCCCGCAGCCTTCGGTGCCCAGGACAACGCTCCAAGGGGCCGAGCCCCCGCCCCCCGCCCACACCGGGGTCCAGTGCTGCCTTCTGCAGCGCGGCGCTGCGGGCCCCCCGTTCTCGCACCCAGTGCGGCTGGGCCTGGCCAGGTCAGCGTGCTCACAGCGTCTGGTCCCTCAGCCCCAGCACCATCCCCGAGGGGACGGGTGTCGCACGCAGTTGGGGCCCCGGGAGGAGGTCAGTGAGCAGAGAGCAGGGTGCAGTCGCAGACCCCAGGACCCGAGCGAGACTTTCTCAGGGGGCTTGTCCTCAGCGTGCTGCCCCCAGAAACCGGCTCGCGCTGGCGCCTGGGACTGCCCTTCCGCTCGGCTCGCGGGGGCCGCTGCCATGCTGGCCCCGGGAAGCACCGTCTTCACGACGTCTCCGCAGGCCCCTCGTCCCGGACCCCGCCCGCCCGCGGGGGTCCTGCCCGGCGGCATCCCAGCTACCCACAGGGCTCCGGAGGCGGCCCGGCCGCCGGGGCCGCCTGGGGCCGGGGAGGGGGGAGGGAGGCCGGCAGGGGGCTGGGTTGTGGCGTTCCATCCGCCTGCCCCGCCCCTGGAACGCGGGGCGCCGTCGCCGCCTGTCCCGAGCCGCTGTCTCGCCGGCCCACGGTGGCGGTGGAGGCCTCGCTGTCTGTCGGTGGCGGGGCGGGCGGGGCCCTGGGAGAGTGGGTGCGGAGAGCGTGCGAGTTTTCGTCTCGGCAGCGAGGCGCACCGTCACCAGCCGAGGGCTGTGGCTTCGCAGTGGGGAGCCAGCACGCTCACAGCACCCCTCCTCCCGCCCCCGAGGCGGGGGCTGCCGGAAGCCGCCCTGGACCCCAGCCGCTCCGGCCCGGGTCTGTCTCCCTCCCGTGCTGCACGGCCGGGGTGGGGACGCTCCGGGGGAAGGAGGTTAGGAGGTCGGATGCGGAGCTGGCGTCTCCGCGGTGCCTTCCGAGGGGAGGCGGATGCCAGGCAGACCGTTGTGCACGGACCGTGGTGCACGGACGTCTCCAGCTCGTACCCGCTGCGCCGGGAGGCGGCGCCTGCCAACCCCTCGGCCTTTGCCGGGGGGACGCTGAGGCCTGGGGAGGGTCGCCCGCAGGGCTGGGTTTCTGAGGGACCAGCACTTTGGAGTGAGGGCGGCCGGTGCGCGTGCGGCCAGACAGGTGCCCAGGCACTCGGCCCTGCCACAGGGAAGGGGGACGGGGACCGAGGGGTCTGGCGGCTTTCAAAGGCCCCCGGCGAAGGGGGCCCTGGAGGCGGCCCCGTCCACTGGGCCCCTGCGAGGGGTGCTGCGCCCGCAGCCCGCGCTGAGCCCCGTGGGGACGGCCCTGCCGGAGGGAGGGCCAGGAGTGCGCACACCCGCCCGCACGGGCGGGCCCAGCGAGGCCTCGAGCAGGGAGGGGTTCGCCCCCGTCCACCTGGAGGCGGGTCCAGGCCAGCCCACATGCACTCCCCCGCCGCCCCGTCCCCGGTGTAGACGCAGCCAGTGGACACGGCTCCGGGTGGCGTCGGCCAGCCGACCTCGGGGGGTGTCTCGGGGAGCAGACAGCACAAGCGCTGCTGTCACGGCCTCGCTGACAGGGAGGGAGGGAGGGAGGGCTCGGTGTTGCAGACACGCGGCGACGCCACGCTGTCACCCACGGCCTCGCTGCGGCCGGGACAAGGTTGGCCCCCCCTCGTCCCTCGTCCTCGGAGCCCAGAGCGGCCCCTCGCCTTCCCCGGCACACACCTGACGCACCCGGACGGCATCGCCGCGAGCGCCCCTTGCACTGGCGCTGCTGGAGTGCCGGGCGGGGGGCTGGGCTGCAGGCGGCGACGGCAGGACCCGCAGCAGAGGGCAGGCCCCCGGCTCTGTGGAGGGGCAGGCCAGGCCGCCGGGCACTGTGTGGCTTCGGGAAGGGCCCCCCGCCGTCCCAGGCCTCTGTCCACTCAGGAGCTGGGCCGGTGACCTGCAGCTGACGCCTGGGGTGGAGGGGCGAGGGTCAGAGCCGACGAGGCTCCCGTCTGCCGGCGGGGGGGGCGGGGAAGACCGTGTCAGTGCTGCTTCTGCGGGGCCTCCAGGACGGGTCCCTTTGCCTCAGAGATGCGGGGTCTTCCGGGGGCCTGCGAACGGGGCTTTCATGCGGGGCGAGCGGGAGTCGGAGCGGGCGATGACCCCTCCTCTCCCGAGCCAGGGTAAAAGACGGGGCACGAAGTTCACGCCTCGTGGGCCCCAAACTGCGCCGTGGACACCGGGGTGCAGGGCAGCGACCTGAGCTCCCCACCGAAGTTAGGTTCCCGTGTATCACGGTACTGAGGTCATGAAAGAGACAAAAGAACGATTGAGAATTTCCTTTCCTCTTAGAACCAACATAGGGCCGTAAGTTAGCGTCCCGTGGGCTTTCTGCGTGGGCTGTCGCTTCGCCTGCACCTCCCCGCGGGCAAAGCGCCACCGGCGCCCCCCGAGGGCCCCCTCACCCTGCCGTGTCCTGCCCCCCCCAGCGTGCCCCCCCCCCGAGGCCTTCACCCTGCCGTGTCCTGCCCCCCAGCGTGCCCCCCCGAGGGCCCCCTCACCCTGCCGTGTCCTGCCCCCCAGCCTGCCCCCCCGAGGGCCCCCTCACCCTGCCGTGTCCTGCCCCCCAGCCTGCCCCCCCGAGGGCCCCCTCACCCTGCCGTGTCCTGCCCCCCAGGCCTGCAACGAGTTCACCACCCACGTGATGAACCTGCTGCGCGAGCAGAGCCGGACACGGCCCATCTCCCCGAAGGAGATCGAGCGCATGGTGAGCATCATCCACCGCAAGTTCAGCTCCATCCAGATGCAGCTGAAGCAGAGCACCTGCGAGGCCGTCATGATCCTGCGCTCCCGGTTCCTGGACGCGCGGTGAGTGGCCCCCGCCGGCCCCCCCCCACACCCCCGCCATGGGGCCCGTTTTCCCCGTGCCGCGTGCCGAGCCAGCGCAGCCGCGGGCGGCCGGTGCGGTGGGGTGGGGTGGGAGGGCCGGCAGACCGGAGCTGCAGGGAGCGGGCAGCTGGGGGCCGGTGTGTGTCCCGGCAGTAAGGGTGACCGCGCTGCCGGGACAGCAAGGGCGGGGCTTCGGTTCACCTGCCACCAGGGACCTCCTGGGTGGGGCCGTTGCGTCTCTCGAGCCGCGGCAGTGGCCCACGGAGGGCCGGGCCCTTCCCACAGCACGTGAGGGCCAGTCACCGTGGGCCCCGCTCCGGGCTACGGCGGCAGCACCCAGGGCCGGTGGGGCGGTGGCTTGGTCCGCAGGGCGCGGGGGCTGGACGTGGGCTCCAGGCCTGGCGTTCCCTGCCTGGCGGGCGCTGTTGCGCGGGGCCTGCGGTGGGGCCGGAGAGTCCAGCCGGGACCCCGGGCCCCAAGGTCCCCCGAGACAGAAGCCGTGCACACAGCACAACCAGCAGCTGGGGCCCCCGCCCCGAGGCCAGAGCGTCCGTGCAGGCCCCCGGCCGCCTCCGGTGCCTGCTGCCAGCCCACTGGGCGGTGGGACCACAGCCCCTCCCGCGGAGCCTCCGGGCAGCTGGCCCACGACCCCCTTCCCGACGGTGGCTGTCCTCCGCGGCCCGCACTCCACCTCCAGATAGTGTCTTCCCTGAGGCGGGGTCCGCTGCGTGTTTCGTCGGCTTCTGAAAACAACCCCAGTGGACGGGCTCTCTTCCCTCCCGGGAGCATGCCCACGCCGCCCCTTCCCCCCTTGGTTCCTCACAGGCAGCGTCTCCCAAACCCCAAGGGTCCCCCGGAGACCTGCAGCCGGGGGAGCAGTGGGCAGCGGCAGCTCGTCCCGGGCTCACCCCTGGACCCGCCCCCAAGGCCCCCTCGTCCCTGACTTCCCCGTGAGCCGACAGCAGCCGCCCCGCCCCCCCCCCCGGGGCTCACTCCCCTCCCGTGGGTTTCTGGGAGCGGAGCTGCCCGCCCGGGCTCGCCTCTGTCGTCCCTCTGTCCTCTCTCCGTCCTGGGCCCTTCCGTGTGTGCCTGCCCTCGGCTTCCGTCAGCACACCCCCAAAACGTCAGAGAAACTCTCAGGGCCGTCAGGGCCCAAGTCCTGGTCGTGGTTGTATCGGGTGCAGATGGCCGCGCCCCAGTCTCTCTCCCTGGGGCTGTGTGCTTTTCTTCTTGTGCTTTTCTTCTGGTTTGGCCGCTGTGGTCTTCGAGGCCCCAGGCCCGGCGTCTCCGCCCCCCCCCCCCGGTGTGCTCTGGGCTCCACGGAACAGGACGTGGGGGTGCCAGCCGGGCAGCACTGGGGGCCAGCTCGAGCTCCCGGGAGAAAGTAAGCCGGAGCTCGCTGTTCCCGGCCGGGCGTGGTGGTGCCCAGGGCAGGCGGCGTCCTCCAGAGGGGGGACCCCGTGCCCCCCACCCCCCTGCCCGGCAGGGACCCCAGCAGCCGCCAGCCTGGCTTCTCTGAGTGGGCTGTTCGGCACGGTGCGGGGGGCCGGTGACTGGCGGCCTCTGCCTCGGCTCTTCCCTCGTGCAGCCACCGCTCCGCCGTCCCCATGGCAACGCCCCTCGTTAAAATGCTGGCCTCGGCGTTTGCGATGGCAGATACTGAGGAGGAGAGGAGCGGGGCCCAGACTGAGCTCTCTTCTAAAAAGGGACCGGGGAGGAGGGAGGGGCAGAGCCCTTGTGTCCCGGGGTCTGTTCTTGCAGTGACGCGCAGCTCTGCCGCACCCAGTTCAAGGTCAAGGTCAGACTCGGCTCGCTCCACTCCTGTCCCCCAGCCTCCACCGCCTCGGTGCCAAGAAAGAGTGGGACCCCGCTGCCGTCCGAGCCTGGCGGCAGCTATCTGAACCCGAGCGGGGGGTGTCTGAGCGCCGCCCCTGGGCTGCAGCGGGGCGGCGGGCGCACATTTCTCGCTCTGCAAGGGCACCCCCTCGCCGGCGTGCGTGCTGCTCAGCCAGGCCGGGCAGGGAGGGCGCGCGCCGACAGGGCGAGACCCCCTTGGAGGCAGGAGGAGTCCTCTGCGAGCCCTCTGCGGTAGCCCGGCTGGTTCTGCCCGGCTCCTGTCGCCGGGAGCCTGCGAGCTCTGCTCTGGCCTCGCGTCGCCGTGCCCAGGTCCCGTCTGAGGCCGGGTCCCCCTCCGCTCCCCGGTGTGGGCACAGCCCCGTCCCCGGGATGGTGGGACAGCAGCCCCAGCGCCCAGCAGCCCCCTCCGCGCAGGCGCCCACAGCACGGCCAGCGCCTCTGCTGCCGTTTTCAGCTCTGCGCCAAACCTCCCTGTCCACGGACCCACACCCCCCGATGGTGGCCCACTCGCAGGGGTGGCAGCCGTGCGGGTCGCAGCCCCTCCCGCTCCGGGCAGGCTGTGAGCCAGAGGCAGGGTGGGGCGGGGCGGGGGGCTGCCGGGGGGCACAGGCCTCTGTGGGCTGCTGCCCCCAACCCCGTGCTCCCACTGCCCGCGGCACAGGGAGATGCAGCGCCAACGCTCCCCTGGTTCTTTCAGTCGGCGCCGGCCCTCCGGCCGTGCGCCTCGCCTCGTGCCGTGGTCCTGGGTGGGTGCGCTGTCAGGGCTGCGACCACACGCTGCTTCTCCTTTCCTCCGCTCCTTGCAGAAAGTAAAGCAGCTTGTGGGCAGGGGGCCGGGCAGGGAGACGCAGTGAGCTGGTGCTCGAAATCCAACGCTGTAGACACATCTTTCTCAGCCTCGACCCCCCCACTGGTTGGCGACAGTCTGACTTTTGAAGGACGCCTCGCGGGCGGCAATGGTGCCCTGGCGGAGGGGCCGCGCAGGGTGACTCTGCACGGGGGGGGGGGGGGCACCGAGAGGAAGGGCGTCGGGGAGGGCTGCCCGCACGGCGGTAGCTGGACCCACTGCCTGCCCAGCGGCACTCTCGCCGTCCACTGGGCGCTGCACCAGCCACCGGGAAGGACAGAGACAAGAACACGGGTGCGCCCGGCCTCCGGGGGCAGAGGCTCCCAGGACACCACACGGACCACACCTGCCAGGCCCCCTGCGGGGAGGGGCGGGGCGGGCAGTCCGGAGTCTCAGAGCGGCGAGACGCTGGCCAAGTGACGCAGTCTCGTGTGGCTGGGTTCTCGTGTCTGGAACACGGGGACCGTCCGTCCCCAGGAACAAACACGGTGACGAGGAGGGGAGCCTGGTGTCGTGTCCGGGACCAAGTGTTCAGGGGACCGCTCAGCTGTGCGGTGACAAGGGTCGTTCCCGTCGCACGTCATCGTACAGCTGATGACGAGAGCGATGAGAGTGACTGTCGTCGGTGGCACAACCAGATCCTCAGATGCAAGGCTGGAGGGGCCACTCCCCTCTTGGAGCCGAGCGGGGCCAGGGACCCCTGCGGAGGGCCCCAGACTGGGGCGGGGGGAGCCCCCACTGCACTTCAGTGCTCAGGGGGCGTGTCCCCCTTCAGACAAACACTGGCGTGTCGCGGGCTAGGCGAAGGCAGGAGGTGTGGGGGCCTGTTGCGCCCCGAGGGTGGACCCCGGCTCTGCGCTCCGGCCCGGAGGCCGCCTGGGCTCTGTCTCTGCAGAGCCTCGGTCTGGAGCTGCTCCCTCTCGTGTGTGGGGTTTGACTTTAGGTCCTAATCGGTTAAAGCAAACAGAAACAAATGAGATTGCATAGCTCTCCGGGCTCAGTAGCCACGTGTCAGCCTCTCAGCAGCCACACGTGGCTGCCAGCCGGTCTGCCGTGGCGCAGAGCCTGCCGGCCAGGCACCGCACGGTGGACGGTGGCTTCCCACGCCGCCTCCGGAAGAGCAGCGCGGGGTGTGGGGCAGGGCGCACTGGGAGGAAGAGGTCCGGCCGGCCCGCCGCCTCTGACGCGGCGGGACAGCGGGGTGGGACTTAGCCCGGCTGCTGGTGCGTGCTGGGAGTGCGGCTGTTGGAGGGGACGGACGGACAAGCGGCATGTGCAGTGGCCGTGTCTGTGCGGCGGCGTCATGTGACGTGGGTGACGGGAGCCGCTTTGGCGAACAGGAGACCAGACTCGGGGTGGCTCACGTGACATGCCGGGTGCAGTGGCCAGCAGGGCGCGGCTCCCAGGAGCGGGCTAGAGCCAGCGGCGCGGGGATGGCGGGGGGGACAGCGGGGGAGGCACGTCTGCCGAGCTGTGCGACCCACTCGGGTCCCTGCCGTTCACAGTCCCGCCCCCGACAAACACCGTGTTCGTCCGCAGTGTTGAGTCCGCCTGCGCATTTCCTCACGTCGAAACCCAGTGACGGACTCTCCAAGCTGTTGGTCAGCTCCAAGTCCCAGATGTTGGCCCCCGAGCCGGTCGCCTTGCTCGCCGTAGCAAAGGAGCCGGGAGTCTTAGCTCTAGTCGCGTCATCATCAGTGTGTCAGCTTCACTAGGTTTCCCGGAATTCTGGGAACCCCTGGTCCTGGGATCAAACAGGCCCCAGACTGAGACAGCGTGGAAAGGGGCGGTGAGAGACAGGGTCCGTCGGACGGACGAGGCCACCTCGGGAAGATGGCCCGGCTCGAGGAGGGGGAGTGGGGACCGCCGTCTGCACGGCCCAGGCCGCCCACTCGTTCCCAAGCGGCTGTCTTCCGCTGCGTGGGCAGTGTCACGACCACCACACCGTGACGTGAGTGCCGACAGTGGGGCGGACGGCCCCGTGGCCCGGCTCTCCCGGTCAGGGCGGCCTTCGGGGTTCAGGCCCCAGACCCCACACCACCGTGGGCCTCGGGCAGAGAGGCCCCGAGGCTGCGTGGGGACAAGCCTGGGGACCCGTCACGTGGGAGCTCGGGACGCCTGCCGCCTGTCCAGTCCGCCCCGCTTCCGGCGAATTCGGCCTGGTTCGGGAGGACAGCTGGGTCTTGGCACGGCCCAGACAGGTGTGGTTTTGACCCGCGGACAGACGGTGCTCGCCCGGTAAAACCAGGCACCTCGTTGCGCCGATCAGTCCGGGCGGGACCCTGGAAGTGCCGCGCCAGCTGCGTCTCCAGTCCCGCGGGGTGGTCGCCGCTTTCTGTTGGCCGAGTGGGGAATTCGATCCCCTGGCTGAGCAGCGATGCTCTTCTGCAGGGAAGAGTCTCGACAGGGGCGAGAAAGGGCCCGGGCTGGTGGAGCCAGCTGAAAGGAGGAGCCCCCCCAGGCCAGCCATGGGGAGTGCGGGGCGACCAGCGTCCGCAGTGAGGCGGCCCCCAGCAGCAGGCGGCAAGGAATCCTCACTGTAAATTGGTTCAAGTGGCACTTTTCTTAAAAGGCAGAAAAACGCTGTTATTCAAAGAGCCACCCTCCCTTCCGCCCCCTGCACGTCTGCAGGCGTCGGCTCACCGCTGGGCGGCCGCTCTTGGGGGAAATACCCTTCTCTCCGGGCGGGAGGTCAGGCCGCCGGGCCCTCTCCCAGACGCCCCCGGGGCAGGTGGCATGTACCCCCCCCCCCGGGGCGGGAAGAGAGACAGTGACACTCCTCTGTACCTCAGGGCTCAGCCGCTCCTGAGGGAGACGTGCACAGAGGTGACCGCACGTGCTGGCCGCACTGTGGAGTCCGAGCTGATGTGCTGGCTCCGTGGCAGACTCACGCGGAGACCCTCGGGCCCAGCTCCCCCCGCTGGGGGGCGGGAGCGACCACCTCCGCCCCGCAGGCTGCGAACACCGAGTCACCTGAACTGCGTGCCTGAGGGGCAGGCGCGGGGGCCTGGCCCGGTCCGTGCAGCAGGCACTGTGCTGAGGGTGGGCGCCCCCCGCCCACGCCCTGAGGCCCGTGGGACCCTCCTCGCTCCGCTGACCAGGCTGAGCGTGGTGCGGCCTCCAGGTGACCCGGCAGCGGGGATTCGCTCACTGCGGGAGTCCAGGCCGAGGCGGCCGAAACCTCACGCCCCCCGCCCCCCTTCCCGCCCCCCTTCCCGCGTGAACACCCCAGGCCAGCGCAGCGCCGTGTTTCGGACACGCGCACGGCGAGGGCTCTGGCCTCCGGCGTCCTCGCCCGGCGGACCCCTCCCCAGCTGCGCGTATTTGGTGTGAACTGGGCTCCGTCCTCTGTGTCTTGTCTCCGTGCAGGCGGAAGAGGCGGAACTTCAACAAGCAGGCGACCGAGATCCTGAACGAGTACTTCTACTCGCATCTCAGCAACCCCTACCCCAGCGAGGAAGCCAAAGAGGAGCTGGCCAAGAAGTGCGGCATCACCGTGTCCCAGGTGAGCGCCCCGGGCCCAGCCTGACCCCGAGGGACTGGGGCCCCGCAGGGGCTGCAGCCTGGGGGGCGGGGGGCAGGCAGAAACAGGGCCCGGCCCCCCCTCCGACCGAGCGGAGAAGGCTCTCACGTGAACCTGGAGAGTCGCCTGCACTTCTCACGCCGCTCCTTAGACACGGGCAGCCTCGGCCCGCCCACTGCCCAGCCCGGGGGCCGTGCGGCCGGGGGTGGGGTGTCCCGGTGACGGGGACGGAAAACGCCTTCTCTAGCGGGCTCGCTGGGACCGAAGGGGTGCAGGGACTTAGACACGCCGCTGTGGTCGCATCGGAAAGGCTGGACAGAATGTCCCCGAGCGCCCCTCCCCCGAAGAGCTGCCCCACAGCCGGTGCCGGTGTCGCCGTGGAAGGGCGCAGGAAGTGGGCGTTCAGGGACCGGGCCTCCAGCGCTGCAGTGCTGGGGGGAGGCCGGCAGTGCGTGTGGGGGCGCACTCCTGTCAGGGGCCCCCGGGCCTCCCCCGCGGTCTGCACCACGGCTGCCACGGCGGCCTGCCCTTGGGGCCCGGAGGGAGGGTCCTGCAGTCCGTCGGAGGAGGCCCACGGGCGCTGCCAGCACTCCTCCGAGAGGGGCGAGGAGCGGGAGGAGGAGGCGGCGGCGGCGGCGGGAGACAGCGCTGAGCGTCTGCGCTTTCTGGAGCCGCATCCCGGCCTCTGCTGCTCCCTGCGGGGGCGGCGCCGTCAGCTGTGATTAGCCTAGTGGGGCTGGGCTCTCGGGACAGCGGCCCCTCCACGCGGGGGGCCTGCCGTGAAGACAGCGCCGGGGGCTCTGCAGCAGCCCTAGCCACGCCCTTTCGGAAAGACGGGGTGGGAAGAGCCCGCTCCCTGTCAGCCCAGGCCCTCCGTGGGTGCTTCGACCCCGTGGGAGGTCGTCTCCAGTCTCCACAGCCCGGGGACAGCCCAGCCCCTGGGCGCGCTTGGGTGGCCAGCTCTGTCCGGGTCTCCAACCGCCCCGTCCAAACCCAGACCCTCTGTCCAGGGGCAAGGGGGATCAGTGTGCCTGGTGCTCGCCGAGTGCGAGGGGCGGCTCCAGCCTGCACCCCGCAGTCCGCGGGCGTCAGCCGTGGGGCCGTCCGTGTTATCTGAGCTCTGGTTCTGGGGTGCGGGCCCCCAGGCCCCCACTGAAGACAGCGGGGCTGTGCAGGAGCCAGCCGGCGTCAAACCCAGACACCGGGGCGCCCCGGCCCGGCCCGCAGCCCGCGCTCCCTCCCTGGGGAGACTCAGAGCCAGGTCAGGGCCTGCTGAGATGGCTGTTCCGTGGGGTCACCGCGTTCCTCCGCCACCCACCCGAGGCCACCGCACCGTCTGCTGTCACGTCACTCTGCCCGAGCAGCCAGGCCGCCCGCCGCCGTCAGGCGAGCCGGGCACAGGGGGGCATCAGAGCGTGGCCCAGTCGGCCGGGGGCGCCCTGGCTGCTCCCGGGCTGCACAAGGCTGAGTGTCCCCATCCAGCTCCCACATCTGGGGGGTGCCTCATGAGCCGCCCCCTCCTTTCCTCGCCCCTCCCCTCCTCCCTCCCTCCCTCTCTCCTTGTTTCACGGTCACCCTCCCTTCTTGGGTCACAGTCGCCCTCCCCTGTGGCCCCCTTACCTCCGGCCCCTTGGGCACTGCTCTCCTCTTCCTCTCGGTCCCCCCCCCACCCCGCTCCCTCCTCTCACAGGGTCTCCTGCCGCCACCTGCCCTGAAGCCCCAGTCCGTCTTCAGCTCAAGTCTCTGCGTGCCCCCCACCCCACCAACCCCGGCCTGTGGTCCGCCATTGTCTGTCGTAAATCCCCGGTTCCTTCAAAACCTCCTCTCTTGGGAGTCCTCCCGTGATCCAAAGCCGAAATAGGCCCGTGCACCAAAACCCACCTGAAGCCCGCCCATGGTCCTTCTCCCCTTGGACCCCCACGCAGCCCTCCCCGGCCCCAGGGCTGTGGGGTGGGCCGCCCACCGAGGGCAGCCGCGAGAGCCCCAGGGTCTCACCCTGGTTCTGCATCGGCCTCTGCGGGGCAGAGGAACAGGAGGCCAGGAATCTGTTCTCACCGGCCCTTGACCCGGGAAGAGACGGGTCTGCACCCTGAGTGGTCTCGCCCACACCCGCAGTGGCAGGTCTGCAGACGGCGCTCCCCGCCCGGCGGGACTTGGCCGCAGCTCTGTTCGTGGCCCCTCACACCTCCCGAGTCCACACTGCGGGCCGGCCGGGGTTTTCCCAGGAGACCTGCTTCCCCGCCTCCGGCGGCCCCTGCCCTCTGTGCCCGCCGGCGCCTAGCAGGCCGCTGTGCGTGTGCGGACGGTGAGCCCCTTAGCGAGGACGCTGGTTCGGCACGCCGCCCGGCCGTGGCCGTCGCCTGGGGGGGCCACCAGGAGCGTGTCTGGCATCTTCCCTCCCTCCTGCCCACTGCCCTCACTGAGACAGCAGCTGTCCCCAGACACGTCCCTCCTCCGCCCTCTCTCTCCCCGTCCCCGTCTCCCTGCAGCCGTTTAGTCAGCTCCCAGGCGCGTCCTGTCTCCCTCCGCAGTCCCCCCCCCCCGCCCCCGCGACCTCCTCGTCCCCCTCTCCCCGCCCACCCAGCTCCTCAGAGAAACCCCGGCCCCTCTCCTCTCCCCCGTGCTCCGGGAGCCAGCGGCAGCCCCGGTCGGGCAGGCCGCCCGTGCGCGGCGGAGGCTGTGTCGGGGCGGGCGGGACTTCGGGGCGCGGCCGGACGGGCCGTGTCCGACCTCGCCAGGGCCCAGCGGCGCCCTGCGTCCTCGGGTGCAGGCCTCTCTCTCTGCCCCACGGGGGTGTGCAGCGAACAGCGTGTTCTTACCGGGTGTTTCTCTCGCGTGTACCGATGCTGCAGTGGTTGGACTTTGGCCGCAAAGGACTCTGGGAGTCAGCTTCTGAGACTGTGCGGTCCTGCTGACGTGCTCGAGAATAAGTGTGGTTTTGCATGCATTCCCCTCGTGGGCCATCGCCGGGACCCACGCACATGCTCCGTGAGCCATGCCCACCTGTGTGGTCAGCCCCCGCCCCGGCAGGCCGTGGTCTGTCTGCGACTGTGGAAGCACCACGGCATTCCAGTGCTGAGTCACGTCTGGAACTTGGGACCTAGGTCTTCCTGCCGGGGCGGGAGCAGGGGGAGGACAGCTGGCCTCCCGTCCCCCCCCCCCCCCGGCCCAGGCTGGGGGGGCGTGGCGTGCGGGGCCTGGGGCTCGGGCGGGCCAGCCCGACGCAGGGACCCTCGCGAGGGGAGCCCGTGGACCAGGGGGCGGAAGTGAGGGTCGCTGAGCGTGGGCTCTGCCGTGGAAGCCTGGGGCGCGCTCTCCTGGGGCCGGGCGCACCGGCGTGGTACTCACAGGGAAGTCTGCGGACCCAGTCCCACCGTGCTGGGGCCTCAGTGCGACGCAGGCAAGATGCCAGTCCACACGGAAGTGACCGCACCCCCGAAATTTGAATTTAATGTATTGGTGTTGACGGAAATTAACATGGATCTTTAAAGGTCCGTGTAGCCAAACTCGGCGTCAGCGTTGCTACGACAGAGGAGATTGCTGCAAAAGCTGCACTCACCGTTGAGAGGCATCTTGTCTCAGTGTCGTGCTCGAGGGGTCAGCGAACGTAAAATGCGTGCCTGGCTGGGGGGGCCCCGTCTCAGGGAGCCGCTCCCCCAGGAGAGCTGCCGTCGCTGCGCCGGGCCGGCCGTGCTCGGCGAGGGTCTCGCCTGACGCCGCCGTTGCCCTCTCGCAGCTCGGGCCTTCTCCGCGCGGTGTGACCTCGTCCCCCCCCCCTCCCCCGGAGAAGACCGCCTGCCCCCTCGGCGCGCCCGCCCCCCGGCCCGTGTGCTCCTGGCGGGTGGTGGTAACGCTCTGGCCTTGTCTCCTCCCGCCGCAGGTGTCCAACTGGTTCGGGAACAAGCGGATCCGGTACAAGAAGAACATAGGCAAGTTCCAGGAGGAAGCCAACATCTACGCCGCCAAAACGGCCGTCACGGCCACCAACGTGTCCGCCCACGGGAGCCAAGCCAACTCGCCCTCCACGCCCAACTCCGCCGGTTAGTCGCTCTTCAGTTTGTGGGGCGGGGCCCTGTCTTCGCCGTGCCTGCTCTCCCTGCCGCCGGCCTGGCCGTGAGTCCCCGGCCTCTTGGCCGTGTACCTGAGAGTCCTCGGGGTGGCTGCCGTCCCTGCCACGGCCACGGCTGCCACTGCGGCCTCTCCCTCCGTTCGGGAAGAGCGGTGCGCTCCTGGTCCGTGGGAAGGGCTGGCCTGGGGGCAGGCGCAGTGTCTGGTTACAGTGCGCTGGTCCTGGGGACGGGTGACCTCGACATCCCCCCCAGATGCCCGGGAGGGGGCGGGACCAGACACCGGGACGCGGCCCCCGGGCCGCCCGCCTGCTCGGGTTCCGGGCGCGAGCGTCCCCCGTTCCAGCAGACACCTCGTCCGCATGGGTGGTCCTGCAGAGCCAGGTGACAATTGTTCCTGAACCTTCTGTAGTCGCTGCTCCTGACTGGTTTATTTTGTTGGCTCTCTTTACGTAGAGCACAGAGCAAACTGCCGGTCATTAACTCAGATGACTCAGGCCCCAGCCTCCACGTGGCAGTGGCAGCCGTGGCCGTGTCCCGGTTTCACTCCCGGGGACACACGTGGTGCGTGCCGCCCCCCACAGAGGCCGGCTGCCGCAGGGCGTCCCGTCAGTGCGGAGTCCCGCGTGGAGCCCGCGTGGAACTCGGTCGCTGCTGCGTGAACTGCAGCCCGAGTGTGTGTGCACTTTGGAAGGCATGTTGTGCCTTATTTTTTTTTTAGAGAAAACCCAGAAATGTTTCCTCACTAAGTAGGTTTGGTCTCAGATCATGACAGTTTACCCCATGGCTGCGAGGGCGCGTCTAGGAAAATGGGGGCCTCTGATTCTGGAGGGGCGCACGTTGGAATATCTTGGGTCACAAAATGACAAATGACAGCAAGTCTGATGTCCAGCCTTTCTGGGGGTACACGGATATTTGACCCCGAGGTGTGTTTGTCCACTGACGGGAGTTCCCTTTCTGCGTGTCGGGGTGGTTCTTGGGGACACGTCAGTTCCCCTCTGGCGTCGTGAGCTGGTGGCCGCACCAGCTCGTAGGACGGGGCTCTCCGCACCCCGGGGCTGCAGCGCCGCGGCCTCCTGTGTCCGGTGGAGTCCCGCGGGGAGCCCAACCGGGGCTTGCACGTGTGGACACGCAGAGACACGCTCGGCTCCACCCAGTTGTCTCCCTCCCGGCGCTCCGGGCGGGGGACCCGCAGAGCACGCACGCTGCTGGGGTTTCCTGTGCGTCACCGTCTGTCCCCTTCACGGTCCGGTCGGCAAGAGATCCAGGCGAACGGGGTGGGAACCAGAGGGCCGCCCCCTGCCCGTCGGTGGGGGCCGCGAGGAAGCAGCTCCGACCCGGCCGCTCCCAGGGACCGCCCCGCGAGGCCCGCGCTCTCTCTGGCTCCCCGGGAGCGGCGCGGTTCTGTCGGAAGGAGCAACGGCACACGCGGTACTCCCGCCAAGCTGCTGTGAAGGGAAGCAGAGGTCGGAGCGGCTCTCCCCGGCGTCGTGTCCGTCTGTCCGCACCGCGGCCGGCTGGCCGCAGCTGTGGCCCGGCCCCGCCCGGGCCCCGTGGCCGTCCCGCGTGGTTGCCCCGTGACTCTCTCCCTTTCCGGAGCGCTGGAGGAGGGGCCTGCCGGCACCTCGACCCCCGGTCTGTGCCGCAGACGTGAGCCGGCTCCTGCAGAAGGTCACTCTGAGTCCAGTTTCCCCAGGGGCTGGTCGGCGCCTCGAGCGTCACGTGACCGTTCCGGGCCCCGAGTGACCGACGGCGGAAAGTGGGAGCTGAGCCTCCCCGCCGCCGCCGCCAGGTCGCAGGGGACAACGCACAGAGCAGCGCCGGGCGAGCTCCCCTGAGGAGGGAGACGGGCGTCAGTCGTGTGTGCGCAGGGGCGCGGGCGTCGTCGTCACGCAGCACGGGGACCGTGGCCCAGCACAGGGAGAGGTCCCGGAGGGTACCCCCCGCCCCGTCACCAGGGCTCCTGGCGCCACCTACGAGCTCATCCGCCATCTGAAGGGGGACCCAATGACAAGGAAAGGGGGAGACGGGGCTCCCTGGACGGGTGGGCTGCGGGAACGGGTTCTGTCTGGGTTGGAGCCTCGTGCCCTGGGACCCAGGGACATTCACGGCTACACGTGAGTGCGCGTTCGCCCCCCCTGCGAGGAAGGCCCTCGGCCGGCCCGCCCGCCAGAGCCTCCGCGTGAGGAGCTGTGCTCCCGCGGTGTCTGGCGGCCACTCCCGACCGCCCTCGGTGTCGCGGTGCGCGCCGGGCCTGCTTTCCCGCCACGGTTCGAGCAGCCGTGGCAGCCCGCGGGGGTCTGGAGACCCTGGGCGGACACGGGGTGTTGTGCCGGCGGAGCTGGGCCCGGTGGGCGGAGCGAAGAGGAGGGAGAGGAGGAAGACGGGGGAACGGAGCTGTGAACGCGGAGAGCAGACACGGCCGGTTGAAGCCGCAGTTCCACCTGGGTCCGCGGTGCTTCTGGCGCGACCCTGCGTGGCACCGTCCCCTTCGGTGCTGCTGCCGAGGCCGCAAGAGCAAGAGCCGGGGTCTCGGAGACAGGCCCCTGGGGGAGGCGGGAGACCCTCTAGCGTCCGGGAGGGAGGGAGGGAGGGAGGGAGTGGCCTGTGCGTCACAGGCGCTGGCCGTGGGGTGGCACCCACACCCGTGCTGGGTCGGCCCGTCAGCGCGCGGGCCCGCACCCCCAGGTCTGGGCTTCCCCGCTGAGCCGCACGGGTGTGGTGGGCCGCTGCGGCGGCAGGGCCAGCCGGGGCGGGCTGTCCTCCGGCCCCGTTGGGGGGGGCCCTGGCTCCCGCGCCTGCACCCCCCCCCCAGGTAGGAGGCCCGGGGTCTTCCTGGGTGGGCGGAGGGCTGCCATCAGCGCCCTGACACGGCTCCCTGCGCGGTCCCCCCGGGCCGCGTGGCGGTCCCCGTCCCCGTCCCCGGCCCCGTCCCCAGAGGCCGACGGGCACTCCTGAGGCGCCTGCGGGAGCCCTCGTGCATGGGTCTGTGGTTCGAAGGCCGGGGAAGGGGTTCAGCCGACTGAGGTTTGTGCCGCGGTCTTTCTCCCCGTGGTTCCCCCGCACGTCAGAGAGGAACAGAGAGCAGAGCTCCCAGAACCGGGGTGGAGCCTGGGCCTGCACCCCCACCGCCCCGTGGGTCTCCCGTCGGCCCGGCCGGCCGGCCGTTCTCCGCTGGGCCGGGCGGAGAGGAGCGATGGGGCGGGTTTGGAGGAGCAGGAGGCGGCGCGGGCAATGGGGGGGCGTGAGCGGGAGTCAGAAGGAAGCCTGCGTCGCCCCCCCGGGCTGTCCTCTGGGCATTCGGGGGACATGGGGCCGCCCTCACCACGCAGCCCGCCCCCGTCTGCCCGGGGCTCCGGTCCCCGGACCGCAGGCGCCCGGCTCCTAGCAGTGCCGCGGAGACGGTGAGTGAGCCCTCGGCGCCTCCTGGAGCTCAGCGAGCTCCTCGGGAAGGGAGAGCAGGTCTGCTCCCGTTCCCGGGCACAGCCCAGGACGTGGTCCCAGGGCCCACCTTCGGTGGTTTGGATGGGGGGGGGGCCGGAGGTCAGGGACGCGGCTGGTCCTTCCGCAGCCCATTCCCCACCACAGGGAAGGGGGCCCGGAGTGTCGGTGGGGCCCGGGGCCCGCACACCCCGCGCTCGGGTGCGACTTTATATCATCAGGATTCTCGTCCTGCGATTGTGGAGGGAGTTGGTCCTTTCCTTCCCGCACACGGGTGAGCCCCCCGAGGCCCCCAGAAACGCAGCCCTCGGGGGCAGGTGTCAGCTCGCCCCCAGGCCCACCTCAGCCAGCGCCGGGCGCCCGCGGGCCAGCTGTTCTGGCACCTCGGTCCCGTTCAGGGCAGCCCAGCTCTGGGCGTGCAGCGGGCCCTGGTGGCAGCCGGGGTCACCAGGTGCGCGCCCCGTCCCGAGCCAAGCTTGGGGCCCTTGGCTGTCACCCACACGGTGCATGGCACGGTGCAGCGGGCTTCAGTGGTGGGTGCGTGTTTCACGGCCACCCACGCACGGTGAGGTCCCCGGCCGCCCGCAGCATGCAGGGTGCTGTCTCAGCCCTTTGAGAAGCCGCGGCAGCCACGCCACACAGAGCCCGTCCGCTGCCGGTCTGGGGGTCGCGCCCTTCCTGGGTGTCCTTTCGCGACAGCTCTTCCCAGCCCCCAGCGCGGGAGGAAGAGCGTGGCTTCCGGCATCTAGGTTCCGTGCAGACTTCTGTCCCTGCGTGCGGTTGCTGCCTCCAGAGACACACCGGGGTCAGGGGCCGGGTCGGGCGGTGCGCGGTGCGCAGCGACTGTAAACGCTGACGCGCCGGCCTTGTGCGCGGGTCGGCCGGCGGGTGCCCATCCCTGGGTGTCGGGCCGCCCCTCGGAGGTCTCTCGGTTTCCCAGCCTGGGCACGGGCGCCCGCTGAGCCGTCAGCCGGCACCGCGAGTGTGTCTGTCCCTGGCGTGTGACCGGGGGAGCGCGGCCCCAGGGCACCGGCGCAGTGAGGGCTTGGTGTCCCGGAGACGGCTGTTCCCAGCTCTGGCGACGTTTACGTGAGGGAGTGTTGTCCCACGTACGGCACAATGGCTTCTGGCGCTTAGGTCGTGATTCTGGGGCTCGGAGGGGGATCCGAGAGGAACGGCGGGAGGGCGTGCAGGCCTGGGCGGCCCCGGGGTCACCGTGAGGCTGCGCCGAGGCCTCTGCCTGCCCCCCGGGGGCGGGCTGCCGGTGCCACGCGGGCGGCGGGGCGGCCAGGCCAGAGCCGGACCTCGGCCGACCTCGGCCCACCACCCCCCAGGCCCAGCTCCGCCAGCGCCTTCGGGGGAGCCGCACAGAAGCGCCGGCCGGCCTTCCGTTCCTCGTGGTGGGTGGCCCCCGGGCTGGGAGCGGAGTGGGTTAGAGCAGAGGCACGGACCCCGTGGGGCAGAGCGAGGGCAGGAGTGCGCCGCCCAGGCGAGCCGGGGCGGGAGCAGCGGCGTGGCACTGACCTGGGCCCTAAGGTCTCCCCTCTGCCGGGCTGCCTTCGCAACTCGTGCCGCGCGCCACGGCCTCACCTTGCACGCTGGGCTTGCTTTCCTAACGCGCTGACTGCACGATCCCTCGGGAATGACGCCCCGCTTCTCCACACCCTGGGGCTAGGTCACGGCAGGGTCGGGGCCAGGTCCACCCCGGGGTCCGGGGCACGGGGCGGGCCTCCAGGCTGACCCCGAGGGGGGCCCGTCCCTGGGAGGGGGCGCAGGTGGCCGACTGCTCTTCTCCAGGCCCACTCGTGATGGCGACGACAACAGTGATCGTCACTATTTCACGCCCCATGCACACTCGAGAGCCCCTGGCCCGTCAGTGCTGCTTCCTGCCCCACTCGGGGGCCGGGGCGGGGAGGGACAGCCCACTCTCACAGGGTCTCCCAGTCCTGCAGTCCTCCTGGGGCTGTGGGCCCCCCAGTGAGACGGTCCCCTCCTCTGGGCATCGCTCACGTCACTGCACTGCCCCGCGCACCCCTCCCCGGGGCCGTCCCCGGCGCGGAGGCAGGAGGGCTGGCAGCAGCATACGTAGGACACAGCCACACACATGCCCGGCCCACGGCCCCCGGCCGACCCCAGACTCCAGGGGACGGCAGAGGGTCCGAGGTCTGGAGCCCGTCCCCAGCCCCAGGAGACCAAGTGGGTGGGGACGGACGCCCCACCCCCGCCGGGCGCCCCGTGGCACCGGCCCCACCTGGGGAGCCCCCGACCCCCTTGTCGCTCGCTCTGTCTCTCGCTACTAACCAGGCCCGCGGGGCCGTGTGCGTGTCTGTGCTGTCGGGGCCGCTTTGCATGTCGCCTTCCTCTCGGCTGCCGGCTGGGGGCGGAGCCTCTTCCTCTCTGTGATTCAGGTGCCTCGTCCTTTCCTTTCCAGGTTCTTCCAGCTCTTTTAACATGTCCACCTCGGGAGACTTGTTCATGAGCGTGCAGTCACTCAATGGGGACTCTTACCAAGGGGCCCAGGTCGGAGCCAACGTGCAGTCGCAGGTAGGGCCCTCGGCCGCGCCGCTGCCGCCGCCGCAGAGGGGAGAGCGAAAGCGAGCCAGGGGGACGGGGGCGTGGAAGCCAGGCCCCGCGGCCCGGCCCGGCCGGAGCGGGGCAGAGACAGCCGTTGTCGTGGTGGGGAGTCCCCCCCCACGGGGTGACCGCGTCGGCTCTGGCCCGTCAGTCGCGTGGGGAGGGTGGGCGGCGTGTCCTGCGCGCCGACGGGCGGGGTGCCGTGCGTGTCCCGCGCTGCAGGCCTCCCTCTCGTCCTGGGTCCTCCGCTCGGCGCTGGCCGTCACGGCGGTGCCTCCGAGGGGGCAGGTGCTGCAGTGCCTGGCGTCCCCCGTGAGGCCCAGAGACCCGCAGCCAGGAGACCGAGCTCACACCCTCGGTGCTCCTGCAGGTCCGGGGCCTCCGTCTCGGTGGCCGGTCTCAGGCCGTGTTGAGGAGCAGGAGGGAGGCCGGGTGGTGGGAGCCCTCGCGCCCCCCGGGGCAGCTCGCCTTCCCCAGGCCCGACAGGCGAAGGTGGTGGGCGCTCTGGGTCAGCAGGCCGGGGCCTTCCCGACCCCCACCCGCCCAGGGTCCTGCCGGCACACGGAGGGAAGCATGGTCCAGACTAGAGCGGCCGACCCTCGAGCCAGCCCTCGCTCGGGGAGTGGCCTGGACTCCGGTCTGAGGAGCCGTGGTCAGACCTGGGTCAGGTGACCGGACAGCGGGCCGTCATTCGGTCCTCGGAGGAGTGAGCCCCGCCCACACTGCATTCTCAGGGAGGGGCCCCACTTGACTCGCACGGGACGCCCAGCAGAGGGAGGCTCCCCGGGAGACGGGGCGGGAGGGACGGTCCTCACCCCCGCCCCGAGCCCCGCGCCCGGCGCAGCTTCGCTGAAGAGTCCGGTACAGGGTGGGCGGTCCTGCACATTCCTGCTTCCCGCGGCCACGGCCCGCCGCCCTGAGCCCAGACGGGAGGCCGGTGGGGCTGGTGGGGGAGCCCGGCCTCCCCCGCGGGGTCCTTCCCGGGACGCCTGTCTCTGGAGCGGCGGCCCCGCCGGGGGGCCCACGTGGCACCCGCGTGGGGCGGCCGCTCGCTGTCCCTGCGCCCCCCTGACTAACCTCTCCTCTTGTTCGCCCGCCAGGTGGATACCCTTCGCCATGTTATCAGCCAGACAGGAGGATACAGTGACGGACTCGCGGCCAGTCAGATGTACAGTCCGCAGGGCATCAGTGTAAGAGACTGCCGTGCCGCGCTCCCCCGCCCGCCGTCCCGAAGCCGCGGGCCCCGGTGACACCCAGCAGGGGTCACCTTGGCTTGACGGTCACCCACCCTCTTGCTCGTGCATCAGCCACGCCAGCGGCAGCACTCTCCCCACGGAAGCCGTGGCAGCCGGCAGCCACGCGGCCGGGCTGTCAGACCCGATCAGTGTTGGCGTGGCACCGGCGGCCACACGCCCGCCGCTGTGCGGGGCTGCCAGATGGGTGGCGCCGGACACGGCAGTGGCTGGGATGTCGCCACGAGGCGGGTGGGGGGCCGGGGAGGGGCAGTGGTGGCCAGTGCCCATTGCACCCAGGTCTGTGGTCTTAAAGAGAAACCTCTCTCCGACCCGGCGAAGGGCGGTGACTGAAACACAGAGCTAACGGTGAGGCTGAGGCCGGGTGGGCGGGAGGGGCGGGGCCTCTTCCCCGGCCTCGGTGCTGGGCGGCTCCTGGCTGGCAGGGAAATCCGTAGCGACAAGCCATGCCGCGCGGAGTGAAATCGATCGGACAGACGGAGGAGAGCCGAGCGCAGACTCGGGACAGCCGTCCAACCTGATTTCTCGGATCAGCCGTCCACCATCTCAGCCGCGGTGACAGCGGCTGGGACGCCGGGACGCCTGCCCGGGGAGGCTGCCGTTCGGAGGCGGGCGCGTCCCGGCTCGGGGGGCCGCGGGGGCGGTGGCAGCATGGCTGGCTCGGGCCCCCAGGGAAAACCAGGGCTGGTCGTGGGGAGGTTTTGTTGTTTCGCTGTGGCGACGAGGATGGAGGACGAAGGTGGGGGTGGGGGAAGCAGAGACCAGCCTGACGCGGTGTGTGCCCCTGGCTGGCACGACCAGGGTGCGGGGTCCTTGCTGCAGGCCGTTGTGACCGTGGCCGGAACAGCCCCAGCAGAGCCCAGCCGCCTCGCCCGGCTCGGGGCGGGGTCCCGCCAGACCCCACAGGGAAGAGCTGGGCGGTGCGTCCGGTTCAGACGCTCACTGTCCGGCAGAGTCTGGGCTTGTCCCGGTGAGCTGCTGCCTGGCCGGGGAGGGTGGCGTCCCCAAGGACACGGTCCAGGGAGCCACATTCCACGCCAAGGGGCCTCTCCCACCGTTGGTCCTCGGGGAGGGGACTGGCCCCCTATGGCGGCCACCACTCCCCGCCATCACCTGTCTGTCCGCGTCCGTCCACACCCTCTGTCCGTCCGTCTGTCCGTCCGCCCCTCGTGGGCTGCCTACCTATTCTGCGGTCAGCGGCGCACCTTTGCCGAAAGGACCGCTGCTGGCGCGGGAGCTGCCAGACAGAGTTCGGTGTGTGCGCGCAGCTCCCTCCCGAGGTCACGGTTCACACAACTAAACGTGCACACGCACTGCGCCAGCTGTCGCACACTCGCGTGCAGACCTACTGCCCTCACTCTCTGGCGTTCACCCCGTCCTCACAGTCTCAGAAAGCAAACCGGACGAGAAAGGGAGGGAGAGCGGTCACCCACGGAACAGTCTGGCTGCGACTGTCCCCATCCTGCCGGCGGCCCGCCCAGCCCCTGAGGCCCCGCCCACCTGCTGTCCATCTGTAGCCCCTCCCTCGGAGGTGCAGCCACACCCTGCCCAGGCCCATTGTCCACCCGACGGGACAGTCTGTTCTGCACAGGTCTGGGGCTCTGACTGGGTGTGTCCGCTCTTAAAGGGCCCGCATCCATTCCCACCGCAAAAGCCGCCGGAGGCTGCAGAGCAGAAGCAGGTGCTGCCTGAGAGCCGAGTCACAGCGTGGCGTGGCGTGGCCTCCCTCCTCGTCTTCCGCGGCTCGCCCCTCGCTCTCCTTCGGCCTTTCCCGCAGCCCCCACCCCCACCCCCACACCCCCACCCCCCCCCCCACACACACACACACACGCTCAGGCTTCTTACTCATCAGCCGGCCCCGAAGTGCGCCTGCCTCGTGCCGTGCTCCACGGGGAAGCGAGTGTCACGGCCGCCCTCGGCAGCCTGTGCACGGGGGTTCTCCGCGAGAGGACGGGGCACACTGGGGAGGCCCCGTGAGAGCGAAGGCTGTGCTGGGGGTGGGGGTGGGGGGAGGGGAGGGGCGGGAGGACAGCTGGCCGCGTGCTCAGGGGCCGGGGTGACTGGAGGCCCCCACGTCCACCCTGGGAGTGCTGATTCGCAGCCTCCCCGCGTGCCCGGTAGCTCCCGGCATCTGCCGGCATCTGCATCGGCCCGCTGTGGAGACGGAGACTCGGGGTCTGAGGCCGTCTGCGTGAGGTGGGGCGTCCAGGGGACCCCCAGGGAGCACCGTCACGGAGCTGGGGTGCCGCCCCACCCCTCCGCCCCCCGCAGACCTCCCCCACCCGCCGCCCCGCAGGCAGATGGAGGCCCACCCCTGCCCCGTGGGCTCCGTGAGGGGTGGGAGGACCCCCCAGGCGGAGGATCCACCGTGTTTCCTCGTGGTGACAGTTCGGAGCTCGGCTGGCGTGGAAGAGACGTGGTGAGGGCCCAGGTTTGGTTCCTGCCGCGTGTCCTTCCAGGGCGGCGCGTGGACGTTTGAGATGGGCTGGTTCTGGCGTGGAAATTAAGTCTGGGGACTGTGCCGGAGGCCCTCCCCGGGCACAGCCTGCTCCGCACCGCGCTCCGTCACGTGGCAGGGCAGAGGCCGGGCCCCGGTGTCTTCGTGGAGACCTGTGGGAACCCAGACGCGAAACATCAAAGGCTGCCCCTCTGAACCCGGGGCAGCCGCGGGAGAAGAGGGTGTGTTTGCCTGTTCCCTGGAGCGCACAGTTCGCGGAAACCCCGGGAGTGGGGTGCCCTCGGCCCAGGAGGGAGCCTGGGCAGGGGCCACATCACCGTGCTGGCCGGGACCTCCGTTCGGACGGCCCCTTCTGTCAGCACGGGACCCTCGGCGGCGCCAGGCCCAGGGCAGCCGGAGGCCCCGGGACACAGGAGAGGGACGACGTCAGACCAAACAGAGGAGGTGACGCCCAAAGTCAGGTCGGAAGCAGCTGAGAAGGTGAGAACAGAGCGGTGGGGAGGAAGAGCGTGCCGCCCCTGCCCTGCGAGCCGCAGGGGGGCGGGTCGAGGGCGGGACAGCGAGCACGGGGCGCAGGCCGCGAGTGCCACCGCAGGTGGCAGCACAGTGGGCGGGGGCTCGTGGGCGCGGTCCCCGCGGCTGAGGGCGCGCACGCAGGGGCGATGAGACACATCGCGGGGTAATAGAATAAGCAGGCTTCATAAAGCAGTAAATTAAAGGACGATTAAAAACAATATGGATAGGAAATTAACCGGCTAAAACGACGTTTAATAATTATATTAATAACACTTACTGACTTCTCTCTCTGTGCTAGGCAGTTTACGTGCGTTAACTGACGCGACTCAAGTTCATTAGAACAGTCAGGGTGGTTCTACAGCGCAGACAACAAAGAGGCGTCGACGCGCTAGCAAACCGGGCAGGGGCCGTCGCGGGGCCCGGAGCTGGGCCAGCCGCCGCTCCTCTGTCCACTCACTCGTGGGCGGGTGTTGGCGTGGAGGCGGCCGCTGGGGGTTAGGGCGGCGACGGAGACCGGTCTGCCTGTCCCGGGCACCTCCCACCTCGTCTGGGCAAATGGCTCTGTTCGGCCTGCAGCCCTCTGAAGGGGGCACAGCCAGCGAACACCTGTCACGGGTCAGTGTTCTGGGGGGGGCTCCGCCTTCCTTCGCTGGGCGAGGCCCCCAACCCAATGGGCCCGGCGACCGCCGCGGTCCCTTGTCCAGTCCTCTCTGGGGACCGGCCAGGGCGCCTCGGACGCTCAGACAGAGACCCGCACTGGAGGGGCCTTGCCGTCACACACTTCGTTGAAGTGTCGGCTTTCCTCTTTGGTGCCAGATGAGCATGTAGCGCGGAACTTGCGCAGAGAGCAGGGAGACCACACGGAAGAATGTATCTGCCCGGCAGCCATCCGGCGTGTGTGTGTGTGCGCACGTGTTCCGTGTGGTGCGGAGACGCCGTGGCCTCGTCGGACGTGTGGCCTGCTCGTTTTCCGGGAAGTCCGTTGCGGATGCTTCCGTGCCGTCGGCCCGTCTCCCAGACGCGGCTCCGACCCCTGCCTCGGGGCCTGCCGTGGGGGGGCGTGACCCGCCGCCCCGGGCCCTGCGGTGGGCGCGCACTGGGAGCCTGCTCTTCCCTCACTCTCGTCACTGACAGTGCCCTGGCCGACAGCCCCGCGCAGGAGACCGAGAGTGTGCTTTCTGTCCCCTCCTTGAGCACGTCTCTGGACACGGAGTGCATGGGTCAAGGGACACGGACCGTGAACTTGTCCCCTGGGCACCTCTACTGAGTTGTCGTCCCCCCCAGCAGTCCACGGCCCCCCCACCCCCAAACTCGCCCCCGCGAGCTGGGGGTGCTTCCGTTTGTCAGTCACCGAACCACGAACTGGCGTCCCGCGTGGGTCCGACTCCCGTCTGCGTCTCCGTGGCTGCCGGGGAGGCTCTCCCCGGCACTGGCCCCGCAGGCGTGCTCTCAGGACGCCTGCCTCTCCCGCACGGCTCCCCAGACCCGCACGTGGGGAGCTGCCCGCCGGTGCCGTGCTCGGAAACAGCTGGGGAACGGAGCACGCTCTGTCCCTGAGTGCTGGGGGCTCCTGTGGAGGGTGGCCCCCACCTTCCTCCCGACTGTCTCCGCGGAGACTGTGTCCGCGGAGGGTTCTCCGGAGTGAGAGCTGGACCGCGCCCCCGGGAGGAGGAAAGGCGGGCGGGAGCAGGACGAGTGTGGGCCTCAGAGGGAGGGAGAACCAGCGTGCGGTCAGCACACAGAGCTCCTCTCCCTTTTGTCCGGCGGACGAGACACCCAGGGCTGTAGGGCTGGACCTACCGTCTTCCAGCAGAACCTGCAGGTGACCCGAGCATTTGCCACGCCCCTGGTGCCGCCCTCGGTCTCGGCCGCAGTTAAGTGTGCCCCTGGGTGGGGCACGGCCAGGCGGGGGGACAGCTGCTCGTTCGCACACACGGGTGCTTCCTTCCACCTGCGCGGGTCGAGATGGAGTCTGTCCGTCACGTCCGTCTGCGGCACCTTCTTCACCGGCCGTGAGCAGCACCTGGCCCCGGCCGTCGGGCTCTGAGGTCCCGTGACCCCCGCCCTTCTCCTTCCAGCCCCTGAGCCCCTGCGCACGTTTCTGGGACCGTCTCAAGGGGGCAAATTAGCATGTGGGGTCAACCCGCTGTGCTCGTGGGAGAGAGTGAGTCCCGAGTCCTGGGGCGTCCCCCACGGCCGTGACGTGCCGAGGGGCGCAGGACTCGAGGCACACGCATGGTGTCCAGCCTTCGCTCTCGTCACGTCTGTAAACGGGATTCTCCACGTGAGGATCTCCCCGCCCCTCCCCCCAGCAGAGGAGGCGCGGTGGAGGCGGCCCCGCTCTGCGCCCCCAGCCCCCCCGAGTCCCCACCCCCTCTGTGCCCCCAGCCCCCACCCCCATGGGCCCGAGGACCGCCCGCACCGAATGGCGCTGGAGAGCAGTGAGCAGCGTGCTCCCCGGTGACAGGGCAATCAGGGCCCTGAGAGGGGCGGGCGCGTGGGGGGGAGGTGAGGGCCCTGAGGGTTCCCGTTGTGACGGCGGCCGTGCCTCCCAGAAATAACAGCCCTCCAAATGAGAGGCTGCCAGCCCAGCCTTTGTGGCCCTGTCTCGGTGATGGCACCCAAATTGCTGGTGGTGTCCTCGGCGCACTTGCAGACGCCCGTCCCCGGGACGTGGAGTTGGCGTGTGACTCTCTCCGGGGCCTGTCACTGTGGGCCTGGCAGTCCGGGGGCGGGGGGGGCGGGGGCACCTCCTGCACCGGCAGACGGGCGACGGTGGGCTGGCCCGCGGTGGCCCCCACGAGGGTGTGCGCGTTCCGGTGGACCCGGTCACGCGGAGGGGCGTGCGGTCTCGGGGTGCGCCTGAGGAGACGGCGCCTTTCGGCAAAGCGAAGCCGAGTCAGAGGCCGTGGGAGTGGAAGGACCGCCGGGGCTGCGGGGTCAGCCGGCGGGCGGCTCGTCGGGGGCTGAGACGTGCCCTGCGCTCGGGCCGCCCCGGCTGGGCGTCGGGGCGGACGCCGTGGGCGTCCAGTCCAGCCGCCCCTCCCTCTGTGTGCGCGTGGGGGGGCGTGTGCACAGTCCCTTCCTCGGTGCCGTGTCGCCTGAGCGCATGTCCGCTCCGTGAGGAGACGGCGGGAGCTGTGTGTGTGCCCACGGCGTGCGGTGCGCTCCGTAGCTCTGAGCGGGGCTGTTCACTCGGACCCACGCAGTCTCCGCCCCGGGACACCCAGAGGCAGCTAAAGCAGCCCAGCCGGTTTCCCTCGACCTCCGGGAAGCTAATGAAACAAATCTCCAGTTTTAACTCCGTGGGGACCTGGAACCTCCAGAGTCCCCGATCTGCGGGGCGTGGAGGGCCCCGCGTCAGGGCCGCGTCTGCCCCGTGAACCGAAACGAGAAGGCTCGAGGCCCCGCCTGGACCTGGCGGCTGCATCGCCGCGTCCTGGGGTGGGAGTGGCGTGCGGGTGGGTCCCAGCCCCGAGGGGCGAGGGGCACGGGCCCTCAGGCTGCGTGGGACCAAGTGTGTCCTGTGCATCGTGGGACCCCCGCTGCTCAGCAGCGGTGACCTGGGGACTTCAGACTCTCCTCCTCGTCCTTGGGCCTTGTGGAGACCAGCCCGAGTTGCCAGGGGGTGTGAGGCTACGGGGCCGCGGCAGGCGGGTTCCGTGTATGTTCTTCCAGCCGATCTCCCTGGGGACAAACCAGAGGGATGCAGACGTCGTCCGTCACGGTTACTTGCTCAGGACAGGCGATGCAGTTCTGTGTCGCCGTGGCGCCTGCTCAGTGGGAGAAAGCCCGCCCCCCCCCCTCCGGGCAGGAGACGCACCTGGCACCAGGCGCTGCCTCCGCTCGCCCCCGGGCTGTCCCCTGGGCGCTCACAGCTCGGCACAGGCGGTCAGTCCGGGTCGTGGAGTGCACCAGCCCGAGACCACGGGCCCCACCGCCAGCGCCCCGAACGTCCCTATGCCTTCTCTGACCCTGACCCTGACCCTCCAAGCCCCTGACTGACACCAGGGTCAGGCCAGGCACCGTGGGGAGTGGCCTGTAGCCAGGGACCAGCCGCCCGCCGTGTGCTCGCGGTCTGGTGGGCGGTGCAGGCCTGGGCTGGGACGCGCCCAGTGGCAGCACAGGTGCCTGCCGGTCAAGAACAGCCGGAGGGCGGGCTGTAGGGGAGACGTCGCCGGGGCCCACGGGGCTCGCCCACTCGCGGTTGGAAACAGTCCCGGGGGGTGGGGGGCGTGTCGCTGGGCACGTGGTGTCCTCAGGGGGCGGAGGGGCACGAGTGGTCCCCGCGTTACAGGAACTCCTGGGTCCCCAGGTGGCCGAAGCAGGAAGCGAGGTCAGGGACATCCTGGGCCCGGCAAGGACACGGGCCCCCGTCCGGAAGCCCCTGGACGTTGAAGCCGGGTGCGGACCGAATCCGAAGGGCGTTTCGGAAAGGTCCCGGCTCGAGCTGGCGGGGAGGGCCCGGGCCGTGCCTGGGCCCGTCCGCTGTCGCAGGGGACTGACTGGCGTCTCTCCCTCTTCCCTTCCAGGCCAACGGAGGCTGGCAGGACGCGACCACCCCCTCCTCAGTGACGTCCCCCACAGAAGGCCCCGGCAGCGTCCACTCCGACACCTCCAACTGACCTCCCCGCCCGCGCGCCCCGGCCCGGCCCGCGCCCGCTGGCGGGGCCGAGGGGGGCGCCTCCCCCGCCGGAGCGGCCAGCCTGGAGGGGGGAGCAGCCAGCAGACACGCGCGTCTCCGCCCCCCTCCCCGGGGGACGCTGCTTCAGCCACTCTGGACACCTCTTTGTACTCCGTCCCCTCTTTTCTGGGTAGAAGCCGCCCTCCCCGCCCCCCGCCGCCCGGCCCTCGCCCCGCCCTCGGCCCCCGGGTCCCGCCCCGACGCGTCACTGAAGGGTATTTTCAGCAACTGGAGGAGTTTCAGGAGGAAACACGCAGAGGAAACAATAAAGGTGTTGGTGCGTTCTCACGCTGCTGGTCTGAGGGGCCACGTTCGCCTCACCGAGCCCTCGCCCAGGCAGCCCTCGTCTCGCCGCGGTCACTGCCTCTCACCGGAACTCGCCAGGCCACCCGTCCTCGGCCTCCCCGCCCCCAGCTCCGCCCTCCTCCCAGCCCCGTGTGCCCTGGGCACTGCCACAGCCACCGCCCGGGCGCGGCTGCACCGGGCTGATTCCAGGCAAGAGGTCAGCGGCAGGAGAAGGGCCGCGTCCCGTCTTCCCGACGACCCGGAGCAGCCGGGCCCAGAGGCGCAGCCGGCGGAGGCCAGAACCCACTGCAGAGCCCGGTGCGGGCGCGGCGCGGCGCGGCGAGGACGGTATGGAGCGGAGGAGAGGGTGGCGCCCTGAAGCCCGGACGCCGCCCCGCACACACGCGCACACGCCTGCAGGCACACACACGCCTCTCACGAGCACCGCCTGAGGCCCGTCACCTGCGGACACCCGCGCCGGCCACTGTGGCGTCTCGCCTTGCCGGCCCAGCAGAGGGACTGAGCGGCTCCTCGGGCCGCTCCCAGACAGAGGGACCGTCCCTCAGCAGAGGGACCGACGCTCCGTGCCGGCAGCACCCAGCACCTGCGCCCCAGCGCCCGCCCGGCATGCACGAGCCGGGTCCCCAGTGTCCTCGCCTCCTGCTCATGCCCCCCGAGCCCCGGGGAGCCCGGCGCGGTGCCGACGGCGTCTGCCGAGGGTTCGGTTCGGGTCTGTCCTGTGTCTGCCGTGCGCGGGGACCTGGCGTGGCTTGGCGCACCCAGTGCTCCGCGGCGCTGCATCCCGTTCCGGAGGAGCCGCTCGTGTGAGAGCTCGGCCGGGCACGCTGCGCACCAGCCCCCGGAGGGCCTGGAGGGCCGGGGGCACCGCTCCCAGCGAGGCCCTGGCGGCGAGCTCTGTGCCCTGGGGCTGTCCGAGGGCGACGCGCGTGCCAGGAAGCTGCTGCCCGGTGTCACCCAAGCACGTGGCCTTCGTGGCCGGCTGTGCGGCAGGGAGGTGCAGCCCTGCCCCTGCGGAGGGGGCGGTGGCCTGGGCTCGGCCGGGGCGTGTGACAGACTTGAGACGCGGGTTCCCTTCGAGGTCGAGGTGTAAGCGTGAACTCGGGGAGGGCAGCGTATCTGCGGCGCCAGGCACCAGGTCGCGGTGCGTGGGGCGGCGGTGCTCCTGGGCTAGGTCCCGGTTGGTGGTCACACCCGATGCCGTCGGCGTGGGACAGAGCGGGGTCTTGTCGCTCTTTGGTTCGTTTGCTGTGGCCGGTCGGGCTCTCGGGGCGGACACCAGTCCCCAGCTGGGAAGCTCGGGCCTGGGGCTCCCGGCCGGCGCTTCCCCCCTCGGGCGCCCTGTGAGCGCGGCGGCCCCGGTCCCGTCCACCCTGCCCCAGAGGCTCCGGGGCAGCGAGACCCCGAGGGGCGAGGCTGGCCCCAGCAGGTCCCGGGTGCTCCCTGTGGCCCGGCGGTCAGGAACACAAGAGCCCCCCCCACCCTGTATGGGTGTCGGTGGAGGGAGGAGTCGGTGCGGTGGGCGCCCATGGGTGCTCACCGGCGCTGTGGTGGGACTGGGTCCCGGCCGGGTTTCCGAGAGGGGCTGTCGAGGGACAGCCCTCGGTGGCAGGGACAGGAGCGCAGGGCCCCGCAGCTGCCTGACCTCTCGCGGGGCTCTCCCGGGGGGTCCCGCTGGGGTCGGGGGGCTGCCATTCCGGGCCAACGGGGAGATCCGCAGAGCCCGCCGCACCGGCAGGCAGGTCCGCGCCCTGCGGCAGCTGCTCCAACTGTCACTGTCCCGTGCAGCCTCTGTGTCCCCTTCCCACCTCCTCCTCCTCCGTGGCCACGCTGATACCTGGCACGGTGGCCGTGAGGCCTCTCGGCTCAGCGAGGCGTGAGAGCAGGGTCTTCCGAAGGGCAGGGCAGGCGGAGCCGGCCCGGGGCTGCAGGCCCCCTCCCCGGGAACCCCTACCCGTAGTTTGTGCCCCCCCAGACGCCAGGCTCCTTTCCCAGCGGACGCGGGAGGACGGCACCCTCCCTGCCCCACGTGGCCCTCGGGTCCGCCCACCTGGACCCCTCCCCGCCTCCCCGTCTCCGCCCCCAGTGCGTCCGCCTGGTAGCACCTCCTTGAGCCAGTTTTCCGTTTGCTCCGCTGGCTGGCGAGTCCGTGAGTCCGTCCTCTACCGGCGGCCTTCTCTCTCTCCCTCTCTCTCTCTCTCTCTCTCTCTCTCTCTCTCCCTCTCTCTCTCTCCCTCTCTCTCTCTCTCTCTCTCTCTCTCTCTCTCTCTCTCTCCCTCTCTCTCTCTCCCTTTCTCTCCCTCTCTCTCTCTCCCTCTCTCTCCCTCTCTCTCTCTCTCTCTCCCTTTCTCTCTCCCCCATCTCTCGTGCCCCACCCCCTCTTTTCCTCCCAAGTTTTATTTTTCTGCCCAGAAAAACCTGACTTCGATACCAAAAAAAGATGAAACTACAGAAACTCAAATTTAAAAGAAAAAAAACTTAAAAAAAAAATACTCGACGATCCTCTCAGCTTTATTAACATTTCCCATGCTTCTCGCGGCCCGTGTCTCGTTCTTTGTGGTCCTGGCGACGGCGTTTGGTGCGGAATGTGCTCGTGCATTCAGAGAAGGGGAAGCCAAAAAGCGGCCTGAATTTAACAGTGTTTATGATGACAGTTTCTAAAGCGACCCTCATCGCACGCGACACAGGACGGGGCTCCCTCCCCTCCCCGGGGCGACGCCCCCCCACCCTGCGTTTCTTTGGCGCCGCATCGGCCACCCCCCCCCATTTTCTTTTCTCTCCTCGCATTTGTGGATTAGTTCAAGAATGCTAGCCCAGTGTCGAGTTGTGCGCACCCATCTCCTGTCCCACGGCGTTTGGAAGTGACAGTTACTCCTTTGTACACGGGAAAAACGAAAAAGGGCTGGGGGAGCGAGCGTTGGCCGAGGTGCACCCAACACTCCGTTGCGTTTCTTAACTCGAGACCGAGAGATAAGTTCCTTCCGTTACTCCTGCTCTTGAAAATACAGCAGAAAAGGATGTTTTGTTTTCTGTTGCTTTTGGTTTGTTTATGGGGGGGGTGCTCTCGTTCGCCGTCGGGGTCGTGGCCTGGCTGTTGCGGTCCTCGCGGGCGGCAGCGCCGGGGGGCCGTGTCTGGCTGCTGCTGCTCGGTCTGGGCGCTGAGTCGGCGCCCAGAGGGCGGGCCCAGGTGGCGCCCGTGGCCCACCTGCGCGTGGAGGGTGTGGCGCCCCTGCCGCTCCGGGGACGGCCACGTCAGGGGCTCGGCTCCCCTTCGGCCTTTCACAAGTTCACGGCCCCGCCTGGGCACCTTCGATCGTCGCGCAGGGAAAGGCTTTTGCCTTGGAGATGGTGCCTGTCACAGCGAGATGCCGCCTTTTCTCTCGCCCCGACGAGTAACAGCATTCCAGGGGCCGCTCCCAGCCGGAGAGGGCGCTCCTGGCAGAGGACGCCCGCGGGCGGTGCGGCGGGCCGGGGGTCCCCCTGTCGGGTGAAGAGCTGGGGGGAGGCGGAGCCCGAGTCCCCGCTGAGACTCCGGGGCTGGGCGTTGCGGCAGCCGAGCGAGGCTTGGAATGTCCTTGTTGGTCCGGGAAGAGAAGGCGGCCGGGCCGGGCAGAGACCCCCTCGCGAACGTCTCCCAGGTCACCGACGACCGGGTGTTCCGGAAGCAGCCAGACCCCGGGCGGGAGACGGGCAGGCGTGGGGAGCCCGGCGGCGGCGGCGGTGCACTGCGGGGTGCACCCTCCTGCCCCGGCGCCGCCCCCCGGCGTGTCAGTCGCGGCGGGTGACGGGCGGTTCACATCACCTTGGCGGTTTCACTCCCTAGCTCAGAGCTTTCTGGAACCTCCTTTTTGTAACCTTCTTTCCCCCTTTTGTTAAAGTAAATAAAACATTCGACGTGTCCTCCTCTCGCACATCCCTCTTTAATTTTCCCTTGGCCTTCCCAGTTATTTTGACGTGTTTTCCCTTGGTTGTTGGCTGTGCCCCCCTCCCGCCCCTGAAGCTCTGCTCTGTTTGGTTTTGAAAGCTGAAGCTTCCCCGCCCCGCGAGAGCACAGGCCCCCCACCGGCCGCGGGTCGTGTTCTCCGGCGATGCTGACCCGGTGTAGGTTTTGCAGTCTCCTGATTTGTACTGGTAATGCATACTCCAAATAAATAGTTTCTTTTGTTGCAGAAAACACGCCCGTGTGCTGTGTTTTTTCTCCAGCGTGCCGGCCCTGGCCTTCCCCCACCTAGGGCTGGGCTCCCGTCGATGACGGTCTGAACGGTCCCCCGGGTCATTCTAAACCCAGGCACAGTGGCCGTGGGGTGCACGGCCTCAGGGCCACCAACCTCACCCGAGAGGGAGGAGGAGAAGGGGGGCGGGGAGGGAGGGAGGGCTGTTGAAGGGCAGGTGGCAGCTTTGCCACAAGAGGGAGCAGCCGTCCGGAGCGCTGGTCAGGGACGGCCGCCCTGCACCGAGCACCGGTGGGAAGTCCAGGGAGGGGTCCCCAGAGAACCTGAGCCTGGAGGCCGGCCGTGCGCCCCGCGAACAGAGAAGCTGCCCCCGTCTCTCATCTGTGGCCCGGTCACAGGCGAGGTGTGGGGCCCGGGAGACACCCCCAGAGGGGGCGGGCCGGGTGGGAGGAGCTCCGCCCCCGGCAGGTGGCGGGGGCTGCTGCACCAGAGTCGCGCCCCTCACTGCGTCGTGTCCTGTGGAAACCCCTCTGTCCCCTGAGGGGTGTCCACCCTCACAGACTCCCGGCCTTGGGGGCCTGGTCTGGGCGCACCTGGTGTCTCCCAGTTCCGGCTGCGGCGCCCCCTGGGCCGCAGCGCCCGGTTCCCACCTGGGCAGGAGGGCGGGGCTCTGGTCGGCGCCCACCTGGGGGTGGGGCTGGGGGTGGGCGCTCACACCTGCTGCCTTTCAGTTCCCAAGTGCCCCCTGGGCAGGGGTGGGGGCGGGGGTGGTCTGTGGCCAGGCGGCCCCTTCTTGGCCCTGCGGCCCCTCAGTAAGCGCCTGCAGCGTTGGGCACCTGCCACACTCAGGGACCAAAGGAAGAAGCGAGAGCAAAAGACAAGCCCCGGGGATGCGTCACTCGACGGGCGCCCCCAGGGCAGCCGTCCCGTGACCATCGGAGATGGGGCTGCGGCACCTCTTCCGCAGAGGGCGTGGCCTCGGGACCGGGGCTGCCCTCCAGGGGGAGGGAGCGAGTGTCCTCCTCTATGACAGGACACAGACACCCCCCCATCCCCAACACGCTCCCGACATGTGTGTCCCCTGAACTCGGGGCTCAGCCCCCCGCCTGTGGTCAGCGGCCGAGGACGGCCGGAGCCCGGGAAGGCAGCCCGGCCCCCTGGGCCGGTCACTCGCACCGGTGCGTGGCTCCCCAGGGGGTCAAGACCAGCCCCTGGGGAGAGCAGAGCTGCAAAGAGTTAAATGCACACACCCTGGTGTGGTTC